GGGCCTCATCACGCTCAGGAAATCCCAGGCATCTCTGGGCAGCAGGAAGCTGGGCAGGTCCATCACCCTCAGGAAAGCCAGGGCATCTAGCCAGGAGCTAGACAGCATCACCCTCAGGAAAGCTGGGGGGTCTGGGCAGCAGGGAGCTGGGCGGGTCCCATCACCCTTGGGAAAGCCGGGGCATCTTTGGGCAGCAGGGAGCTGGGCAGGTGCATCACCCTCAGGAAAGCCAGGGTGTCTTTGGGCAGCAGGGAGAGTCCCCCGTCATCCTGTGGACATCTGTCATTTGTGCAGAAGCCTTGACATAAGATAGAAGCAACATTTCCTAGAAGTTTCTTACAAACTTAAACCAAGGACAGAGGGTCCTAGAGGAATTGAGGGCTTTGCTGTCCACTTTAAGTGAAGGGAATTCTTTTTCATTCCTTTATTGTCACTAAAGGTTGGATTTCAGAGAAAGTACTCAAGCACGTGGAGGAAGATGAGGGAGGGAAGATGGGAGGAGGGTGAGGAAATGTGGGCATCTGGTTCCCTGGCTGCGCACTCAGGGGACCCTGGGGGACCACTTGCTTAACAGGCAGATGCCTCTGTGTGTTGCCGTCAAGTGAGGTTGTGGCTGAGCCCGGTTAACACTCGGGGCGCCCATGCACGGCTGGAGCCTGCGCAGTCTCTTGGTGACAGCAGTGACCACATGGCGTCCTCCTGCAGGGACCATGTGACTGGCTTTTATTCTCTCTATCCTTGGGTGGAAAGAGGAGGAAGAAGCGATGAGTCCTGGCCTTCTACTTTCGAGTAGGTCAGAAATGTTTTCATAAGATAAAAGTTACAACTGAAAGAAACAGCAGGTCTGGGTGTAAAAACCCTGTGTTTTCAGCCTCGAGTGTGTGTGGGAGAGCGGGAGCTCAGGGTGTCTCTCCTGGGGGCCATGAAGCAGGAAGAAAGGGCTGTGGGGCCAACGCCAGCTCCACTTTACATCCGGGTGCTGGGGCTGCCACAGCAAAGTGCCACAAACTGGGGGGTCCATGTGACAGAAATTCGCCCTCTCCCTCACTGGAGGCCAAGTCTTAGATCCAGTTGTTCCAGGGCTGTGCACCCTCTGAGGGCCCCAGGGAGGCCCCTTCCTGCCTCCTCCAGCTCCCAGCGGCTCCCAGGGTGGGATGGGGTGGGCAGCCACATGTTCAGAGCTCCCAGGTGTCTCCAGGGCTCCGCCAAGGCTGACACCCTGGTTGGCACTAGGACTCTGATTAGGATTTTGGACAAAGCATTTCCTCCACGGGCAGACACAGAGCACACCCCTGGGTAACAGCACGTCCAACCTTGTAGAAGAGTCACCAGTCAAACACTGGCTGTCCAAGTGAGAATCAGTGAGATTGCAAAGTGGTTGTCATTAGTGAGGGTGTCAGATGGCCTGGTGTGTTTAAGTAACCAAAAGCAAGTCCTTCTGATACCTTGCATGTTGGAGGGGGTATTGCAGTGCTGGTTAGAATTAAAACCCAAAGCAGGTCATTGATTCTGATGGGAGTGCCCTGGCCCCAGGATCATTAAGAAGGGTTTCAGGGAGGAAAAACAGATGATGTTGTCTGTCCATGGTCCAAATTCATGGTGCATCCCCACTTCCACAGGAATTCCATGCAGGTCTTTTATATGCTGCTATATTTTATATCTGTTGCTGTGCTGCTACACACTCCAAAACTTAATGGTTTAGAGAGCAAAAAATCACTTTTTATCTCTCACAGACTATTAGCCAAGAAGGTGGGAAGTGCTCAGCAGGGTGGTTTTCCTCAGGGTCTCTCATGTGGTTTTATGTCAGCCAGGGCTGCATCACCTGAAGGCTCGACTGGGGCTGGTGGCTCCCTCACGAGGCAGGTGGGCTGGCACTGGCTGTTGACTGAGGGCCCCAGTTACTCTCTGGGGCCTGCCTGAGTGTCCTCACCGCATGGTGTCTGAGTGAGTGAGCCAACAGGCCAAGTGGAAGCTGCAATGCCATTATAATCCAGCCTCAAGGGGAAGTCACACGTTGACCACCACCATACTCTATGCTGACCACATAGACCAGCCCTGCTGTGTGGGAGGGGAGCACACATAGACAAATACGGGAGTTGGGGGGTCACTGGGGCCATCTGGGAGGCTTGCCACCATCACCCGTCCTGTTCCCTAAATGACCTGCATCCCCAGGTTTCCTATTCTCAGCATTGTGTGCCACCTTGAGGGGCTGGGAATGAGAAAAAGTATTGTTTTCAGACAGAAAGCATCTCTTTTATATTTAACAGCCCTTCCTTTAGTTTATCTCTTCCCTCTCTTACTTTATTTAAAAGTAGCAAGAGGCCAGGTGTAGTGGCTTATGCCTGTAATCCCAACAGTTTGGGAGGCTGAGGCAGGTGGATTGCTTGAACCCAGAAGTTTGGGACCAGCCTGGGCAACATGGCAAAACCCCATCTCTATTTTATAATATTACTGTTTTTAAAAAATGAATAAATAAAATAAAATAAAGTGCAAGATATGCTACCCTCAGTGCCCTCCTTACAAAGCTTGCTAGCTTGATCATTCAGCTTATTGGGCCACTTTCCACATTACTGCAGGCCATGGTCTTGCTGATAGAATAAGAGTGCCTATTTCTGGTGGGGTTTGACTGAGCATTCTTGCCTGAAGTCTCCTGAAGCTGTAGTCTTGCATCAGCTGGAGTTGCAGTCTCATTTGAAGGCCTGACTGGGGCTGGAGGAACCACTTCCCAGGTCACTCCATCACACACTGGCCAGTGGTGCTGCTGGCCAGAACTCAGTTCTCTCCAAATGGACCCTGCCATGAGGCCACCTGAATATACAGCATAGTGGCTGGCTCCCCTCAGAGTGGATGACCTGAGAGACCAAGACAGAAGCTGTGGTGCCTTGTACAGCTCAGTCACAGAAGTCACACACTGTCAGCTCTGCCATGTTCCACAGGTCACATGCATCAGCCCTGAGTCAATGTAGGAAGATGATAAACCCCAGGAGGTATGGGTCAGTGGGTTCATCTTGGAGGCCACAGAGCTGTCCCAGCACTGTCCCAGAGGGGGATTCAGTGACAGGGCCAAAGGGATTCCAATGACTCAACCCGAGGATGACCAGATTAGACAGGACTGATCAGGCTGAGATGATGAAAGGCCGGCTGACATGACACATGGGACAGGCCCCGGGCCAGAGTCCCTGGATTGAAGTCTCCACCCCAGCACTTCCCACCTGGGGTTTGGGCTTCATCCATCGGCAAGGCAGAGATGATAGCGAAACCTAGCCTTCCTCCCACCCGTGTGCTGGATGATCAAAGGAGCAAACAGAAAAAAAAAAAAAAAAACAGGAAAGTGCCAAAGAGTCACACGATTATCATTTATTTTTGTTACTAGAATGATAAATCCCTTTAAAAATAAACAGCTTTCTTGGATATAATTAACATACTATACATTTCACCTATGTGAAGTGCACAATTCACTAGTCTTTAGTCTATTCAGAGTTGTGTGACCATCATCATTATAGAATAAGGTCTGATTGATGCTTGAGAGCTGACGACGATGATGATGATGATGATGGAGAAAGAGTCTGCTCTGTCCACCAGGCTGGAGTGCAATGGTGCTATCGTAGCTTACTGCAGTGTCCACCTCCTGGGCTCAAGTGATCCTCCTGCCTTAGCCTTCCAAGGACTCCAGGCATGAGCCACCACACCCAGCAGATTTTTTTTTTTTTTTAGTAGAGGTGAAGATTTGCTATGTGGCCCAGGCTGGACTCAAACTTCTGAGCTCAAACGATCCTCCTGCCTTGGCCTCCCAAAGTGCTGGGTTTATTTTTAGACCATAATGAAAAGTTCCAGTTGATGTTACAGGAAGTGAGCCAGGGAACGCTTTACCCCCAGGCTCTAGGAACCATCAAGGTCAGGCTAGAAAAGGGCATCGGCAAGAAGGGGTGTCTGGAGGCGTTAGGGCTGAGCTCTCTGTACAGAGAGAATTCCGCTGTGTGGAGCAGCTGCACTCCCTTACGGGTGGCTGGGTATGAGGGCTACAGCCTGTCCTCGAGGGTCCCACCTCTTCCCCAACTCCCTGGCATCCTAGTCAAGATTCAGGGGGTGGGACTTCCCCTGGAAACCTGGAAAGCAGGGAGCACCGACTGCCCACGGACACCAGGAAGGAGGGAGCATTGCCGCTCGTGGACCCTGAGAAGGAGGGAGCGTTGCCGCCCGTGGTCCCTGGCTGCGTGCCCTCCCCTTGGCTCTTCCACCCAAGAGGGAAGTCGAAGCTGTTTTTCCAAAGCTCTTTCTCCCCCACCTCCCCCAGCTTCCCTCTAAGAGCTCCTGCTGGTGTCCTCCACCCCCAGTCCACCGTCCAGGAGCCAAGAATTCGTGGCAGACCCCGAGCACAGCTCGCCAAATCATTCGCTCATTGTTAGACATCTGGGGTTTTCAACTGTTTGTTTTCATAAAGGACACTCTAAATGCCCCTGGGCAGTGGCTCCTCTGGAGCTCCAGTCCGAGAACCTCGGGTGTGAAATTCTGTTCTCAGCTCCGCCCCTGCCCAGGCTGCTCTACCATCCCACGAGAGGCTGCAGTTGGAAGCCCCTTGACACCCCGGCCTCCGTGGGTGTGAGCATCCCCAGCACCCAGACCTCGGCTTCTCGGTACCGTGTTCCATTCAAAGCGGCCAGGACTCCTGGGAGAAATGACCAGCTCCAGTCTGGGAAGGGAAAACACCAGAGGCTTATAGGAGATCGCGACCCTCCGGGGCTACGAGGCCGTGCCCAAGCACTCAAGAGCCTGCTCAATGGGGGGCGTGGGGGGTGGGAGCCGAGGGTGCCAGGAGATGGCCTGGGGCACAAGTAGCCCTACAGCTCAGGCTCAGACAAGCAGCTGGAAGCCTGGCGGCACATGGACGTTCCCACGGCTTTAAAGGATGCCCCACAGAACATGGATTAATCATCATAGAGAGAGAGGACAACGTTGCAGGGGAGCCTGCAGACGCAGCATCAATAAAACCGCCGGCATTCATGTCACCAGAGACGGCCCAGGTGAGATTCTACACCCCCCGCCAGGACACCCGCAGAGCGCAGCCTCACCCCCTGCTGTCCCTGCCCACCCAGGATCTCATCACCAGGAATCGAGAGGCAGACCCAGCTGAGGGTATCCTGCAAAGCAGCCCGAGTGCCCACAGCGTGGAGGGGCCAGGAGCCAGAACAGGCTGACAGAGATGGAGGAGAGAGGGCGGCTTGGGGCAGGGCGTGATGCCCGCAGATTCCCCTCTCAGAACCTCGTGGGGACAATGGCCAGGCTGCAGTGCGGCCTCGCATGGACCTGTCCATTCCCCGATTCTGATGGTGCTGAGGGCTTGCGAATGTCCCTGTGTGCAGGAAACACAACCCAAAGAGCTGGCTGTGTGGACCGCGGTGCAGCTCCCCCAAGGGCCTCTCCCAACCTGAGCGGCGCCCTCCTGGCCACTGTCCACTGCTGCCTGAGACCCTGCCCCAGCAGAAGGCACAGGCTGGGGCGGGCCTGCAAGAGTGAACCAGGTTGGCGAGGAGGGGCCTCCCAGGGCCGACACATCTGAGCAGCACCCTGCAGGATGGGCAGGCCCCTCATGCCCCAGGCACCGTCACAGGGCCTGCGATCTCATGCATTCAAATGGTACTGCATGGGCCAGGGTGTCCCAGGGGATCCTGTCGGGTGCCCTCCTCAGCTCTTCCACCTTCCACAGTAAGTACTTCGACAGTACGGCTCATGGTCACCCCAAGTCCCCGAGAAGGAAAGAGAGCGATGCCATGGAGATGGGAGGCCAGCCCTGCAAAGGGCACCATAGTCCTGGGCACCACCTCTCCTGGGGAATGGGGGCTTGGGCACCTTCTTCTCCTCCTTCCTCCCTCCCACCTCCCTCTCTCCCTCCTCCCTCTGACTTGCACCTCCAAATTGCCAGTATCACCCCCTCCCCAGCTGCAACAACCCCAAACATTCGGACATTGATTTGTGTTTCCTGCATGGGGGCAGAAACCCTCCTGTTCCAGAACCGCCGGGCCCCCACATTCCCCCACGGGCAGGGACCCATCTCACTCCCCCCACCCCCATTAGCCCACAAGGCTCTGGCCCCCACCCCCATGGCTGCTTGGTGAAATGACAGCCCCGCTCTGCCGGGAGCCGGGGAAGAGGAAGGGGCTGGGGAAGGGAGTCCAGCTAGGGAGCCCTGTGAGCCCCTCTAGGAGCCTGGCCCTGGCTGGAGAGAGAAGCACTGGGATGAAACACACTTTATTCACGAGGGCACAGGATTGCCATCTGCAGTGCTTGTGCTAAACTCCAGCAACGAGCAGATGCAGGCTTTCCTCCCTGGGTCAGCAGCCCGGGGCCTGGAATCAGCTACGCCCACTGCGCTGAGATCAGCTTTGAAAAGCCCCCATTGCAGACCTGCGGCAAAGGGGCAAAGGCCAGGGGAAGCTGGAAGCTATGCTAAGGCTGCTCTGCTATGATCAGCCTGGCCTGGGGCGCCCTGGGGGATTCCTCAACCGCCTCCTAGACCCCTGCCCCACCCCCAGTATGAGGCCCTCACTCAGGCATGCCTGGGCCCCGGAGGCGGAGAGACTGGGACTCCACGGAGAAGCCGTGCCCTGCGCCCACTCGGCCTGGCCGGGAGCCCGGGACCTGTGCGGTCACACCCGGAGGGCCTCACCAGCAGCGGCGGGGGCAGACTCTGTGGGGGCACCCCCTCCTCCAGCAGGGCTGGCCCCAGTGGGGTGGGAGCATGTGGTGGAGGGCATGACCTCTAGGAGAAGTTTGGCTGGAGCAGCCCTGGGGGGCAACCAACTGCCGGGCAGGGGCTCCGGTGGCCCATTTCCCATGACAGGCGGCCTGGACGGGAGGGAAGCGCAGTTTCCACCACCTGAGCCCAGCTCCCAACTCCGGGCGTTCAGATGGGCTCGTGGCCACCAGGCTGTGGGTCCGAGGCGGCAGCCGGCAGGGTCTGAGGGCCACCAAAAGGGAAACGTGTCCCAATTCAGAACCCCTGGCCATGGGCAGGCAGCCTCGGCTCACTCCTCTCCTCTGGGTCCTTCGCCCGCAGTGACAGCCCCGCACCCAGCACCTTCCTGTGTAAGAAGTCAGGGTGTTCGAGACGAGATTGAGGCTGATCTGAGCCTTGTGTGGCTCCTGCTCATAGGATCCTGGGGGCCGTTTCAGGAAGAGCCTCAGGACAGGGAGAATGCTCAGTCTCCCGGCTGCCCCGCCAGGCAAGAGGGTCTGGTGGTGGAGGGAATCCAGGGGGCGTGGTCCTCACCCCACTGTCAGCGCTGGCAGACCCCAACACTCATCCCCCAGCCCCAGGCACACAACCCGCGCTGCCGCCCCTCTCCGGGCCCTGCCGCAGCGGGTGTGTTTGGTGCTGCTGGGGTGGAGTCAGGGGCCAGATCCCGTCGTGAATTTGACAGAAAAGGAAATGGGCTCTGAGAGCAGGTGAGGCTCAGCCAGGGCCCCGTGGCTCTCACCCAAGGGCTGAACTCCAACCTTCCTGGCCCGGCTCTGTTTCCCGAGCTGTGGAAAACGCCTCTGTCCACCCGGCATGGCTGGGTAGTGCCTGCTTCCCCCACACCAGCCACAGGCCGGCTCCCCAGTCCTCTGTGGGACGGTTGCTGGTCTCTGTTAAAAACCCCCCGGGTGACTTGCATGCCGCCAGGGCCTGTGCCCCCGGGAGACACTCTGGGGAGGGGTCACAAGGAAACCTCAGTCCAAGCTGCCCGGCCAAGGCCGGGCATGGCTGTGCCAGCACAGGAAGGCAGGGAGGGGTCTCCAGGGCAGGCAGCTCTCCCCTCGGCCCAGTCCCCTCTGTGAAGTGCTCAGCCCAGGCGGGAACGTGCTTCCCACTCAGCCTCCTCCAAGCCGCTGAAGGTCCCACTGGTTCCCCAAATGACTTCTGTCCTGAGCCGTGGGCTCCTGACCACGCACCTACCTTGCACGGCCTGAACAAGAGTCTGCGCCAGGGACCCCGCTCGGGAGGGGCACAGAGGAAGCCAAGAGCCCACACAGGTGAGGGGGTCTCGTGTCTGAGCTCACCCAGCCCAGGCTCAGCAGCAGCCTCAGAATTTCCTGGCATCTGCTTGCCTGTGTTGCAACCCAAGTGGGGTGTGCGCGCCGCCTGACAGAGAAAACACTCGGGACGATTATGTAAGCGCTTTCCTCCCCAGCACAGGGCCGTCTTGGGCACATCGAGACCAGACCATGTGCAAAAGCACTTCGGGAGCGTGGCAGGAGCTGAGCTGCCTGAGAGGGATTAACCCCTTCCGGGATGCTGGTGGCTCGTCCTGGGGAACGTGGGACTGGTCAGGATTGTAGCACGCGGAGGGGTGGAGTGTGAATGTGGAGGCACCGGTGCTGTGTGATTTCCCACAAGTTGTCTAACCTCTCTGTGCCTTCATTGCCTGACTCGGCTGTTTCCAATGCAGCTGATTTTAACAGCACCTGTTTCATGAGGCCACAGCCAGGATTCTGGAAGGCAAAGCACAGAAAGCCCTCAATGCGGTCTGAGGCTCCAGGCAAGGCTCAGCTGACAGTAGCTGAAAACAGCAGTTCCAGCCACAGAGTCACCCACCCTGCCCACCACAGAACGAACAAGGATTTCCAGCTTTGCTCGGATTTGTGGGGACCACTGGGTTTGGACTTCAGGAAAAGCTCATTTGCCTTTGGGCAGAAGCGACCGGAGCTGGGGTCACCAGAGGTGGGGGCAGGAACCTCTCGTTGGCTGATGCGGGACCTGGGGAGGGGCCGTCTGTGTGGGGCAGCACTGGACGCAGACCTGTCGATACCTGTGAAACCTGCCAGGCTGAGCCGCCGTCCAGCAAGCGAAGAGACCACACTGGACCACGGCGGAGTGACTTGGCCAGCCCCGCCCAGGTCCCCATAGCCCTCACGTGTGTCCCAACTCCGAGCAGGCGGCCGACAGCGCACCCTGACAAGGCACGCGTGTACCATCAGGGACACCTGCTTCTTTAAAGTGACCAGATGGTGCCCAGGACCACAAAAACCAGCCTCACGGCAGGGTGCCCAGCCTCCTTCTCCCTCCGCTGTTAACATTTTTGCCACGATTCCAAAAATGAAGCTGCAGCTGAAAATAATTTCTTTTTCTTCTATAGCCCAAATGAATGATGGGGTAGAGATTTTCCCATCATGAGAACTGCGAGCTCCATTTGTAGTAGGCCCAGGGGGTGATATGTCTGAGGTTGGGGTGCCTTGGGGCCAGAGCCCAGAGGAGAACCCACGTTGGTGTTCTAGTAACGTGAACTCTCATAAGATCTTCAGGACAGCAGAGGCAGCGGAGACGCCAGCGGGCAGGGAGAGCCGGCCCGGCCAGCCCCTCAGGAACGAGGTTCAGTCCTATGCTAGCTCAAAATTATAAACCTCATCTCAGACGGCTGCTTGTGACTCCAGGAGACCACCAGGCCCCGGTGACAGCCAGAGCGGTACCCAGTATATCAATGCCGCCCACCTGCCTGGCGTGGCTGGGAGACGCGGCCGGGTGCTCTCTTGTCTCTCTCTCCCTCCTTCTTTCACTGCTCCCTGAAGGCAGCATCTAAAGAGGCTGAGGCTGTCCTGTTGCTGCCCTGACCTCTGGGGAGAAGCCCGCAGTTCTGATTACGGACCTCAGACAGGGAAGTGCACAGGAGGCCTCGGGTGGCCGGGCTATGCTGCTTCTCCCTGGACGGGCAGAGCTGGCGCATAGGAGGCACTTCACAGGTGACTAAGGAGGCACAGACCCGAGGCCTGGGGGACTGCAGTGTCCCGTGGATCCCAGCTGCGGCTATCAGGCCCACGGGTGGGAGAGCCAAGGGAGGGGCTCAGCTGGGCAATGGGATGAGAGCGGGCGGGGACACTGCTGGGAACTCCCTTCACTACAAGGCCAACAATGTGCGTAAGCGAACAGGGCGGGAGAGCTGCGTGTGGCCTCAGGCAGTCACTCGGCCTCTCCGCCGGTTTTCCTGGTCTGTAAAATGGACCGAAATGCCCGCCCTGTGGTGTTCTTTGGGCAGTTTCTATAAATGCTTGGCCCAGCCTCCCCGGCACATGGCTGCTATCTGGGGCACTGTTTTGTTATTTTCATCCCTGCCCCTGCTGTTTGCTTAGACTTCCCCTGACTCCAGTGAAATCAGCCTCCACAGGCATTTCGTCAGCCCCTTGTTTGTCCACAACACGGCTAGGCAGGTGTGCCCAGGGGGTCTGAGGCTTTAACGGACTTTAAATGTATATCCCTGCAGGAAACAGGTTTCTGTACAGCCCGAGAGCAGCCAGGTTCGGGGCTTGAGGGGCAAAGATCCTAAGGATGCTGGAGCCAGGGATGGGGCTGTGGTCATGGGGCTGTGGGGGAGCGGGGAAGGAGCGCCCACCCTGCCAGGACCTCCCACAGCCGAGTCCACTGGGAAGCCAGCCTGCAGGGCCTGGGGTGAGGGCACAGGAGCCCACCCAGCAACACAGGGGTGATCCGGAAGTGGACAGAGAACCCCAGCGGCTCTATCACAAGGCCACACACGTGACACGCATCTCCCGGGACCGGGACTCCAGCTATGGAGGGCCACTTATAGAAAAGAGCCCTCTCCTTACACACAGTTTGCTACCCTCAGTTTCAACGCTGTGCCAAAGTTTAAAATCAGGACGGATTTCCTCCCCACACTGTGTGTAGAAATGCCTGGTGTTCTTTAAACGTGTGATGTAGCTTCCCCACTGGGTGACTGGTCTCGGTTTGGCCACCACACTCACGGCTGCTGGATCCCGATGGTCTCAGATCAAACCCCCCAGGGAAGATGGGCTGGGCAATCCGTCATCCACGGCGAGCCTTCGAGTCGGATGCAGCCAAGGTCTAGTCTGACTCCAGGACCAGAGACGGAGGGGAGCTTGTCACAGCCCCCATGCCATTCTGCTGAGAGGCACCCCTGCCCAGTGCCAGGCCGACGTCCACACCTTCCTGCTGTTCCCGCCAGCCGAGCTGACCCACTTTCCATGGCCACCTGCCGCCAAGCACCCAGAGAGCTCGCTCTTGCCCATCTTCCCGCGGCCCAGCTGCTGGGGGAGCCAGGCAGACACCCGCCCATGTGGGGGGCAGAGGGAGGTGAGCGCGGGGCGGTGGGTAAGTGGATGTGGCTTAGGTGCCTGTGGGGTTTCTTTTGATTGCTCTGGCTGCTGGACAGGGAGGCGTCCCCATCAGCGGAGTGGAGGTGGGGAGGTGATGCACAGGTTCAAGGCAAAGGGAAGGGAAGTGGGGCCGCCAGACGGAATGAAGAGGTCGCCTGGAAGCCTGTGGTTTCACAGCAAAAATGCAACCAGGTGTGTGCTGCTTCTCCACATCTCAGGTCCAGGGCAGGCGAAGGTTCATATCATCTCAGTTTGGGGCTTTGTCTAGATGAGTCCTCCGAGGTGCAAAGGGGTTGAGGGTGTGTCCATGCAGAGGGGAGCCGTGGGTCTGGGCCCCTGGCCCACTAAAGGAGGGGCCAGGGGAGCCAGCTACAGGGGAGACGGCAGGGCAGGGGTCAGCGCAATGTGCTCTGCAGTCCACAGATGCGGGACGGGGCTCCCTTAATTTAGGTCTTCTTTAACCTCCTTCAGTCAAGTTTTATGATTTTTTTTCCCATAAACACTTTTCGCATCTTTAACGAGTTATTTCTTGACATTTCTATATCTTAAAGCTTTTTGAACGGTGGCTTTTTAAAGTTTCCTTTTTGCATGACCGCTGATGACAGAAACGCAATGACACCTCGTATATTGACTTTGATCCCCAAAAACGTGCTGACGTCTCTTAATAGTTCTGATATTTATCCCTGGGAAATATTTTAGGTTATCTTTGCAAATTGTTTGGAGTTTTCTAGAACACAGTGACATCACCTGCGAATAGCGAGTTTTGTCTTTTCGTTTCCACAGTGTGCCTCTGGCTTGTTTCCTTTTCTTTCTCTGCTCCCAAGACCTCCACACAGCTGAACAGAAGCTGTGAGAACGGCACCCAGCCCCGCTCCCGACGTTGGGGACGTGTGCTGTGGCCGCAAGGCTTCTGTGGAATCTCTTGATCGAGTCAAGGGAATTCCCTTTTTTATTTTCTAGAATTCCCCCCTTTTTTTTTTTTTTTGGAGACAGAGTCTCACTCTGTCACCCAGGCTGAAGTGCAGTGGCATGATCTCGGCTGATTGCAACCTCCACCTCCCAGATTCAAGTGATTCTCCTGCCTCAGCCTCCCAAGTAGCTGGGATTACAGGCACGCACCACATGCTTTGCTAATTTTTGTATTTTTAGTAGAGACGGTATTTTGCCATATTGGCCAGGATGGTCTCAAACTCCTGACCTCAAGTGATCCGCCTGCCTCGGCCACATTTTCTTTATCCAGTCTCTCACTGATGGGCACTTCGGTTGGTTCCATGCCTTTGCTATTGTGAATAGTGCTGCAGTAGACATACGCGTGCACGTAAATTAGTTCAGCCATTGTGGAAGACACGTGTCAGTTCCTCAAAGATCTAGAACCAGAAATACCAGCTGATCCACCAATCCCATTACTGGGTATATACCCAAAGGAATATAAATCATTCTATTATAAACATGGCAATTTCCACAAAAATCTCTGCTTGGATTTTCACTGAAATTGCAGTGAATGTACCATTTAGAGAAAAATGATCATCTTTATGATATTGAGGCTTGCATTCACCAACAGGCTACATGCCACCTCCAGTTTTTTTGTTTGTTTGTTTGTTTGTTTTTTAGGTTTTCTTCACTTTCCTAATATTTTATAGCTTTCTGTCCCAGACATCTTTTGTTAGATTTGTTTCTACATAGTTTAAATTTCTTAGTGTCTATAATAACATTTGTAAGTGGTTATTACTGTTTGTTTCTGGAATTTAGAAATATAATTAGTTTTTTGTATGTTGGCCTTGTGGGCAGGAATCTTGTAAATTCACTTATTCACGGTTTGCTTGTGAGTTCCTTTGGATTTTCTTCACATATAACCATATCACCTGTAAATACTGACAGCTTCGTTTCTCATTTTAAAGCCTTTTAAGCCTTTTTTTTTTTTTTTTTTTTTTTGAGACAGAGTTTCACTCTTGTTGCCCAGGCTGGAGTGCAATGGCACAATCTTGGCTCACCACAACCTCTGCCTCCTGGGTTCAAGTGATTCTCCTGCCTCAGCCTCCCGAGTAGCTGGGATTACAGGCATGTGCTACCACGCCCGGCTAATTTTGTGTTTTTAATAGAGACGGGATTTCTCCATGTTGCTCAGGCTGGTCTTGAACTCCCAACCTCAGGTGATCCACCTGCCTCAGCCTCCTGAAGTGCTGGGATTACAGGCATGAGCCACCGCACCCGGCCCTTTTAAGCCTCTTTTCTTGCCTTGGTGTGCTAGCGCGTTGTGGTGAGAGGCAGCCATCTTTGTCTGTTACATCTCAGGGAGTGGCGGGGGGTGGTGGGGGCAGCTCTCCGCTTTCCACCCTTGAATGGGCAGCTTGTTGTAGATTTCTTATAGATACCTTTGATCAAATTAAGGAAGGTCCTTTCTATTCCTGGTTTGCTAAAGGTTCTCTTAACCCATTTCTGCCTGAGGTCGCCTACTGCTTGGCAATGAGCTTGAGCAGTAGGATATAAAGAACTCCCACATGCTTGGCGTTCCAATAATGGTACACTAGGCATAGTTCATCATGAATGGGTGTTGAAGTTTACAAATTACTTTTCTGCATTTATTAAGATAACCATATAGTTCACCTCTTTTGTTAGCGTGATGTAATACATTGACTTTTAAAATAGTATACCAAGTTTGCATTCCTGGACCTAACTTGATCATGATAGATCATCAATGTCACTGGATCAGGGTTATTCATATTTTGTTTAGGGTTGCTTAGGATATTCAAGAGAGACACTGGCCTGGATTTTCTTTTTTTCTTTGAAACATCCTTTTCGGATTTTGGTGTCAGGGTTATGTTGCCTCATAAAACAAGATGAGAAATGAGAGTCTTATGTTTTTTGTTTTTTTCGTAACAGTGAAATGCTGAGCCTGGAGTTTTTCTTTGTGGCAAGATATAGGTAAGATTTCCGAAAGACAGGAGCTAGTAAGATGTTCCGTTTCTTCTTATAGCAGTTTTTTTCCCAGTAATTTGTCAATTGCATCTAACGTTTCCAACTGACTTTTGAGACAGTCTCAAGTTTTTATGTCTGAAGGGTTTGTAGATTCTGACATTGTAATTTGTCCCCGCTCTCTTTTCTCTGACTAGTGTACCAGGGCTTTCTCAAGTGTACCAGTCTTCTCAAAGAATCCTATTTGGTTTTGTTGGTTGTATCTACCCTACATTTTGTGCCTTATTTCATTAATTTTTCCTTGTTTTTAAGCTTTTCTCTAACACAACTGTCGATATTCCCCGAGTTTTGACCAACTTGCATTTGTTATTCAATTACAAATACCTTCACATGTCCAGTTTTCTTTCTTATCTGACCTAGGGGTTACGTAAATGTTTGTTATTTAATTCCCAAACATTCAGGGATTTTCTACTTTTCTTCTCATTAACTTTTGCCTTAATTCAATTTGGTCACAAAACACATTCTGCAAGCTGCCATCCTGTGGTATTGAGGTGGATTCACATTCTAGTGGGTGGCAATTTGGAGAAGAGCGTGTTCCCTGAGGTTGTTGGGTGTGACATTCCTCACATGTGGCTTGGATCAAGGTGTTCATCACCTTGCTGCAGTACCTTGCATCTCTACACGCACACGCCTGTAATCCCAGCTACTCAGAAGGCTGAAGTGGGAGAATCACACTGAACCAGGAGGCAGAGGCTGCAGTGAGCTGAGATCCACCACTGCACTCCAGCCTGGGCAACAAGCGCAACTCTGTCTCAAAACAAACAACAACAACAAAAAAAAACACAAGGCCGTGCGTGGTGGCTCACGCCTGTAATCCCAGCACTTTGGGAGGCCAAGCAAGGTGGGATCACGAGGTCAAGAGATTGAGAATCCTGGCCAACATGGTGAAACCCCATCTCTACTAAAAATACAAAAATTAGCTGGGTGTGGTGGCGGTGTGCCTGTATACCAGCTACTCAGGAGGCTGAGGTGGGAGAATCACTTGAACCCGGGAGGCAGAGGTTGCAAGTGAGCCAAGATCGTACCACTGCACTCCAGCCTGGGAGACAAGAGTGAAACTCCATCTC